TGGCAATTCAAGGGTTAATGTCTGGCATGTACAGTGAGGGGCCTCAGAGGCCCTACTGCAGCACTGTGATGGGTGTCCATTCTTTTTTTATTATTCTTTAAGTTCTAGAGTACATGTGCACAACGTGTAGGTTTGTTACATATGTATAGATGTGCCTTGTTGGTTTGCTGCACCCATTAACTCATAATTTATATTAGGTATTTCTTTTAATGCTATCCCTCCCCCATCCCCCCAACCCATGACAGGCCCTGGTATGTGATGTTCCCCGCCCTGTGTCCAAGTGTTCCCATTGTTCAGTTCCCACCTATGAGTGAGAATATGCGGTGCAAACTATCACAAGGGTCTCCATTCTTATTGGGTGATGCCGACAGAACACCAGTTGATTATCATGTAAGCAGATGAGACCACAAATTAGACACTTTGTTCTGTTAACCATTTGCTCATATGTGAACTCTGAGTTAGCTGTTATCAATGGCCAATTGATAATTTAAACACAACAAACCACATTAAATGCTCTTCTATTTTACTGTATAATGTATATAAGGTTTTCAGTAAGTTTAAGCTCTTAACTATGCTTTTAGGCTAGTATTAGGCTAGTATTAAAGATGAGTAATACAAACTAACTCATTATTTCCCAATACTTAAGATAACCTGTACCCAAGGGAAAATAAGAGAATAAACAAGAATCAGGTATTTCTTTATGCTAGGCTCTATCTCATTAAATTCCCATGAAAACCCTCCATCATTATTCCCATGTTACAGATGGCCAAGTTAATACTCAAGAGTGTATCTAATATCACACAACTCTCTAAGCACTAGCACAAGAATGACTTATTATGTGCCCCTCCAAAAACAGTGTGAGAAAGTGTGAATGTGCCTAGGAAACTTAGACTCAGGGAGGTTAACTAGCTTGCTCAGACTTATTCCAGACTCCCTCTTCCTAGGAATATGAACTTGATAGTGTGAAAATTGCACTATTTCAGACATATATTCAACTGAAACTATCTCTCCTTCTTCAAGGCTCCTGTGTGCCTCCTTCTACCCTCCTATCCTCTGTAACCTTGGCATCCATCTTTATCAGAGCCTTATAGTCTTTCTACACACACACACACACACACACACACACACACACAGACACACACACACACACCCTGCTTCTCTCCTCACAATAGCAGGAATTTCATTAGTTCAATTTAAGAAGATCTCAGAGTCTTTTCTTTTGTTTTAGGACTAAGTGTCCCTTTTTCTTGCTCACAGGGCAGTGAGAGGAGTTCAATGTTTTGCGGCTTATTGTGCACTGGGAAAGGAAGCCTGTTCTTACAAGTCTGCAAACTATTCTTCCCCTTGTCTGAGCAAACAAATTAATCTAATCATGAAAGAGTGTTAAGAGGGGGAGGGAAGGAGAAAAATGGGAGGGGAGTGGGGAAAAGGGGGAGGAAGGACAACAAAGTTGGGGAGGGAAGAGGCAAGAATAAAGACTTAAAACAGAGACTGCCATGGAAGAAGAATGTTTCCCATGATTAAGGGGTCTTCTTTCAGAAGAAAACTACTTTGGATGCCAAATAAGCCCTTCTAATGATAAACTATTTGACTTCATCCAATCTCCATGGGTCCCATCCAAATTAATTTCATTCCTTTGTCAGGCTCCTCCCCTCTTTAGTTCTTGACTCCATCTGTCCTCTCTGAAGAATTGCTGGGCACTCTAGCTTCACACCTTTCTTCCTGGCTGCTCTGGGCTTCCAAGACCAATCTTTCACACAAAGGCAGCTCATGCAACGACACAGGGAGAGAGAACTAATTGGCAAGGGCCATTCTTAATGCTTCAGAGAAAACTCCAAACAAATGGAAAATTCCAAGCTTGTTTTAAATAGAAAGCTATTCCTGTAATTCTTAATTCTATAATTACCATGTTGTGTAGCTCTGGCAATGAATCTCTCCACTTATATTTTTCTCTAGAAAACTCTGCTTTTAAGGAAGTACTTACATATGTCAAATAATCCAGTAAATAAAATTTGTATGTCATGCAAACCAGTTATATAGCTAGCATTCCCTAAACAACAGAACCAGCTTCAGAGATTTAGCTCCAGAGGGGATCATTGAAATCGTCTAGTTAATAACCTCCTTGTCCAGGGCCCAAAGGGCCAGAATGAATTTCCCCACTTCACTACACAGTTAGTGGTCATGCTAAGAATAGAAGCCAGGTCTGAGTTCTGGTCCAGTGACCTGATCTCCTTTATTGTAAAATTGGAAGGTTGATAAAGCCAGAAAGGGCTTACATTTAGAACACTGGGAAACAGTCTTATATTTATAATAAGCCCTCAACTATAAACATGTGACCACTTTTCAAATTCCGGTTTTCTTTCCCTTTCAGCACTCAGGTTTTGCATTAAGAAATAAAAGCTGTTCTTCATCTAAATTCAGCAGTCATTGAAAGGGAAATACGCTGCCTCAGAAGTCATACACAATGTGCTTTATGGTCACTTCTACATGTTCAGAATCATCCATTCTTCTGATTTATGCTTGATATTGTTCTTTTGCATTACTATGGATAATTATGCGTTGCCTAAATTTTTAAAAACCAGTAACAACTTCATCAAATGTGTTTTTACAGTTTTCCCAAAATATTTATTGTAATTTAAGAATGGCTTTATGCGTATTCCCACTTAATTTTCTTCATTTCAGATTTTAAAATTGTCTAGCCATAAGACTACACTATCTTGCTTCTTCTATCTTGTTTACACTTCACTCCTTTTCTCCTTTACTGATTTTTCTTCTGCCAAATAAATGTGAATGTATGCCCAAGTCTTTACTTTTAAGCCACTCTTCATACTTTGGCCAATGAAAGTTCCAACTTTTTGCCCCTTGGAAAAGAAATCATTTCCTATATGTGTTCCCCTCCCACAAACTCAGCACCTCCTAATTACCCAGGAATCCTTCTCCTTTGTTGACGTTAATTAGTTATACAGTCTCAAGATTCTGCCTTCCATTTCATTTCAATTTAAGTTAACAAATATTTTCTACCCCTTACTTTATGTAGAGTGCTGTACTAGACTCTGTGTGGGATAAAAATGAGCAATTTATATTCCCTCTTCTCGAGACAGTACTTGTCAACAAGGAATGTCTTCCCAAAAAGATAAAATGGAGCTGATAAAGTGTCAACTTTAAAGGGGTATTTTAAGGATTAGATGAACTAATGTGTGTCGTTCCTAGCATATGCTAAATGCTTAGTATAAATTACTTGATATTATGTTACTTTTATATTATTGCCAAATCATTGCTTTGATCCTCTCCAGTCCTAACATGCTGACAAAAGTATATACAGTACAAGGCTAAATGTGCTAAGAGCAACAGAAGAGCTAGCAGACACCATTTTAAACTAGTGGTTACATATCCCAAGTAATGAGACATACCAATGTAATTTAACTCCTGATATGATGCACTGAGAGGACACCTCACGTTTGAGATATCTGTGCCATAAATGCATAATCTGAATCAAATCAGGAGAAAACATGAATGAACCCAGATAAAGAGACATTCTACAAAATAACTGTCAAGACTCTTCAAAAGTAGTAACATTATGAAAGACAAAGAAAGACTGGGAAACTGTCTCTGATTGAAGAAAATTAAAGAAGCATGCCAGCTAAATGCAACATGTGATTCTGGACCAGATAAAGGACATTAGTGAGACAATTGTTAGGATCTCAGTCAAGTCTGTACATTAGTTAATGGTATTGTATCAATGTTAATTTCCTGGTATGGATCATTATGCTATGGCTATTCAAGTTATTAAGATTTGAAGACACTAAGCAAATAGTATATGCAATTTTTTTGTACTATGTTTGCATTGTTTGAAAGTCTGAAATTATTTCAAAATAAAGGTTTTTGTTAAAATAACAGGAGTCATATAAAGTATAGGCAGAAGACAAAGGAGAGAGAATCTTTCCTCAAGTCATAAGTCAAAGGGAGGGGAGGAGGGAGGATAGCAGAAAGATTTTTGGGGATGGAAGCATTTGAGGCTGCCGATATTGAGGAAAGATACTCTAAGCAAAGGAAAGAACAGAATTAAAAGCAGCAAAGAACAAGGTATGTTTTGGATATAAGTAATCATGTTCCTTTGGAGCTCAGTGTCTTTGAAAGGGAAGTAGTGTGAGACAATAGTGAGAGGTGGATGTTTCTGTGTCTCTGTAGTAGGCTGAATGAGGCACCTCCCCACAAAATATCCATATCCCCATCCCCACGACTTGACAATATGATACCTAACATGCATAAAAGACTTTGCAGATGGGTTTCAGTGAGGACCTTGAGATGGGGAGACAATCCTGGATGAGCCAGGTGGGCACAAAGTAATCACAAGGGTCCTTATACAAGAGAGGCAGGAAGATCAAAGGCAGAAGGAGGAGATGGGACAAAAGGAGCAAAGGTTGGAGTAATGCACTTTGAAGATGGAGGAAGAGGCCATGAGCCTAGAAATGCAGACAGTCTCCAGAAGCTGGGAAACACAAGGAGGCTGTCCTGCCAACACCATGATTTTTGACTCTGACCTCCAGAACTGTAAGAGAAGAGATTAGTGTTCCTTTAAGACTCTGAGTTTGTGGTAATTTTTTACAGCAGCAATCAGCAACGAATACAGTCTCTATACCTTACTTTGGTCTGAAACTCATTTCAATTTCACCTCCATCTGGGCTAGGGTTACAGTCTCCTACCTGTTCTCTCTGCTTCTATTCTCCATTCCTCCTTTCTATGAAAGGATGTCAGATTTATTTTTCTCACGCCCTGGACTGAGCATGTCATTCCTGTAAACCAAAGCTCTTAGGCATTCACAGTAGCTGCTAAAACAAATCCACATTTACTATCCTGGCATTTAAGAACCTCCACAATCTGGCCTCAAAGTGCATTTCCATCTTTATCTGTACTTCTCTGCAGCATTACCTTTTTACCTAGGCAAGCAGACTTAGTCACAGTCTCCAGGGCTCTCCTTCTGTATTTCAGAATGCCAGCTTTGAAGGTCCAGGTCACTCTTCCCCATTCTTCCACATGCCAGTTCATAGTGATTTCTCTCTCTGCTGAACTCTTAGAGACTTAAATGACTGTGTGGTCTGTCATCTGTTCATAGAGTCCAGAGTGCCTGAGAATTGAAACACAGGAAATCAACTTAGACTGGACGGGATTGCCATCTAATGATATGATCCAGAGTTTTATGTGTGAACCTGGGAAGCAGATTTAGAAAGTACTCAAGTCAATTAAAGTGTATAAATTAGAATTTTGGGAGCAAAACTAAAACTAATAGAGAAAAAAATGTTCCAGACAACATGATTTAACGAGTAAGAGGTCCTATGCATTCCGGCTTCAAAATCCTGGATCTATTACTGAGTAGTTTTATTCCTACAGCTGAGATTATTATTGATTAACTGACTGTGCTTGCTCAGGCTGTTATTATAAGTCAATCTTCTGATTATAGTAATTTTCACATATAGCTCTTCCTATGAAGAGAGAATCTACTGGCATGAACTGTGGTTCTCATTGTAAATTAGCATTTAGTTTCATACATCAGTCTCTTACGAATTTGGTTATTAAATTGATCACTAAGGCTAAGTCCAAAATCACTAAATCAAGTGAAGGAACCAAAGCAATTTGCTGCGTTGCTCTGGCCAATGAAGGAACTTTACACTATCTGCATCTGAATTATTTAGACTGTCTGTAATGATCAAATTCACCAGATTATTGCTCAACCTTCTACTGTAATTTGCATAGATAGCCTCCATGTGAACCTGGCATTGTCCCTGGAAGTGCCAGGCAGCTGCTCCATTGAAAACAATAACAGCTGTGAAACTTAAATCACTTCATGTTTCAGTAAGATGACAACAACATGGCATACAAGCAGCAGACTGAAAATTCTTTTCAGATAATGCTTGTTGAAAACACAGAACAGAAAAAATCACACAATTCAGTTGTGTGCTTTAAATTCTGCAGATAGAGAAGCCAGGGCCTCCCTCAGAGACCCGAGGTGATTAATGGTTTTATAGTGTTGTCTAGAGCATGCTACCTTAGCACACACATTGAATCCCATAACTCTCATTCCTAAATGAAACACAAGAGAACTAAGAAGCACTCAGTACGAGTCATAATTTCCTTCATATTCTGGTGTTAAGTCACAGTAATTAATATATCTATAAACACTTCTTGATGAAGCCCTTTTATATTCTTTTTACTCAAATTCTCTCTTTGGCAAATGATTACAGAATTACATAAAGTCCCAAATCCCAACAAACATATCTAGAAAAAATAAATAAATAAATAAATAAATAAATAAATAAAACATCTTATGTTTCTTTGCACAGTTCCTAATTGCACCATAGTAGTATATATCACTACAAATTAGTACAACCAATCATACAAAATCAAACTCATAAAGACTTCAGAAAGGGGGATGCTAAACTCAGAAGACTTCAGATTACCAGAAATTCAGAGACAGTGGAAGTTGACAATTTCAACAAGTTTTCTAGCTGACCTTTAAATGATTTTGATGAAGAAAAGGGCAGGCCACTTGAGCAGGAGAAATAAATGCTCACCTATGTCAAAACATTTGGCAGGCACTGGGTTGGGCCCTCTGGCTTGAATGAATCTCAAGTCACCTGTCAGAGGACCGGCACTTCTATTACTTTTGGATTTGAAAATGAGCTGAGATCCGGCCACTGCATTCCAGCCTGGACCACAGAGCGAGACTCCGTCTCAAAAAAAAAAAAAAAAAAAAAAAAAAAAAAAAGAAAAACCAAATATTCCAGCCAGGGCAATACCTTCCTGTGTGCCCTCAGGATCCTTTTCAAAAATCTGTTCTAAAATTCTTTCTCTGATCAAGTACAATAAGTGGTTTTCCTGCTTAAAAGCCACCCATTGATCTCCAGCATAAAATCCTAATATTTCTTAACATAGTCCATCCCACTGTGGTCTTGACATATCTTTACTTCTCTTATGTTTTTAAGCTGCAATTAACCGTTATTTTTTATTATAAAAGTAATATGTGGTTATTATAGTTACATTAAAAACACAAAAAAGCATAAATACTAAAATAAAAACAAACACCCAGAGATAACCACTATTAATCATATTTAATTTTATGTCCTGACAGTTGCTTTTTGCTATGTAGGTATACATTCTCTCTATGCCCTTTTCTTTCACTTTTTATTTGTTTTTTTCTATTGTTAGTTCTTTGCTCTAGGCATATTTTCATGAGTATTTTCTGTCCCATTACTTAGAAAGTCATTAGAAAGGGATCGTAACGAAACCATTTTAGTTTACAAGTTATTAAAGATAGCTACAGGAAGATAATACATGTTATGTTAACCAACATTTTCTACTACGTTTTCTATTTTTTTTCCCTCTTCCATTTATTCAGGGGTGTTTATTACCTTAGGATATTGTTACAACAACATTTGGGGAGTGGGGGCTACATCAAATTCTTGATGTCTGAGCTTCCAAAACCTTAATATTTGAGGATCTTATAACATAAAGCTTATACCACAAAGTGTGGATCTAGAAGAATATGTTAGTAGAGTTTGCCCAGGACTGTCCTGGCTTAACATATTAAAGCACCATGTCTCAAGAACACCCTCAATTCTGACAAATTGGGACAGTGGATCACCTTAGCAAAAGCCAGCTCTTTGTGTTCCCTGTTGAGATAAATATTCCACATCCCTGAAGGGAAAGTCTTAGAAGGCAAATCCTTGAGGCAGGGCTCTCCTTCTGTATTTCAGAATGCCAACTTTGAAGGTCCAGGTCACTCTTCCCCATTCTTCCACATGCCAGTTCATAGTGATTTCCCTCTCTGCTGAACTCCTAGAGACTTTAATGACTGTGTGGCCTGAAATCTCATGTCATCTGTTCCTGCCAGGTGTCATCCCTGGATTGATAAGATGGATGGTGGCCAGAGCACAGTCAGTGGCTCAAGTGATAGAAAGGAAAAAATTCTGATTAGCTGCATTTTTTTTTTTCCTGAGAAAAAGGAAATGAGAGAGTTAGGAAGTATGAGGAAAAGTGTGGAGGAAATCATATGTAAGAGAAATATGAAAGGGTAGGGACAGTGTCTACAGTTGCTCGCCCTGCTGAGGGTAGGAGACCAGGCCAGTCAACACAGCTATAACATTGCCCCCAGCCAGAGCCAACAACCCACAACTGGGGGCTAATGCAAGTGCCCTTGAAGTGACTTGTCATTGACTCCCCAGGGCACAGTTGAATTCCTTCATTTTACAGATGAAAACACAGAAGCCTACAAGAAAAAAACTTACTCAAGATCATTTACTCAGTGGTAGAGTCAGGATAAAAGACCAAGATTCTATACTGGTTATGTTCTATACTGGTTATGTTCACTAATTGTTTGAAACAATATACATAATCATTATAGGACCTATTTTGGGGTTTACATAGACATATTTGAAAACCCTTAGGAACTCTTCAAAGGCTAAGGTTTTATTTTACTTACAAACTAACAAATGAGCCTGTTACTATTTCGCTGATGGCTGACAAAAGGCATGAGACTCCTGGAATGGAGAAAAAAGACTTTATTACTCATAGCAGAAGCAGTGACCAGAGTTTCATGGTTGTTTGCTTCAGGTCTCCATGTGCCCCAAGTTTTATGGGGTAACACAAAGGGCTCATGATGGATGCCTACAAACAAAATGGGTTGTGTTTACAGGAAAGGAACACTGAGCTTGGGGATTTATTGTTTTTATTCTAAGCAGAACCTAGCCTGCCTTTGGTCTCCGGGGAAATATTACCTCATCATTCAAGGTTACTCACTACAAACTCAACTCTAAGAAATGTCTGGTAAAGAGCAGACAAGACCCTGTGTTCTTGCCTGGCACACCCAGCAAGAGCATGTAGGGATACTCAGAGCCCACGGAAGAAGATTGCCCCTCCCAACAACTATCATTTAAACTAAATGGAGTAACAAACCTAAGTGGTTATAAAGTATAATATTGCCCATTAGATTTCCCATTCCTTTCCAAGATAGGGAGTTGACTCACCATATTTTAGGAAATAAAATATTTTTCAAACACTGTGGTACTTTACAAGCACTATATGGACTCCTATAGCCATTTATTTCACTGATCAGTTTTAAAGTATGGCTGTTAAACAAGGGTGATATTCCAAATATTCAACATGGACACCAGTCAATCAGAGCAGAAGCTGGCTATAAACATTGAGTATACCACACAGTTGTATCAGCCGCTAAGTTCCACTAAGACTGAACTCAGGTTTAACTTAAGATACAGGAAGTTGAACACCAAGAATCTGCTGTAGTATATAACAAATGTACCGTATTTGCCTAGGGATAAGGCAGATATATGAATGTTTGTTAGTGATAACATTGCTAGTCTATTTGATCTAATTAAATTGGAAGTCAGTTCAGAAAATATGGCTCAAAAAGAAAGAAATGCTGTTATTATTTTCCCCATTTTCAAATGAATATGAGGAAACCTGCGTGCAGAGACATTAACTTATTTGGAAGGCCAGGGTCAAGTATGGCTTCAGCTCAAAGAAATTTCTAGGGAGCAACTATTAGAGAAAGGTCAAAGAATTCTTCAATTTAAAAAAAGGTAAAATAATCTGGGGTTATGTTTTTATAGTCTTGAGGAAGTATTATGAGTGACTAAAGCTCTGGGGACAACTAAGTGGCACTTAAGATGCTTCCTTTACATATTGTCAATGGAGTCTGTCTGGCTAGTCTCTCCAGGAGGTAAGATATAATTGACAGTAAAAAGTTTCCCAAATAAATTATGCTATTTTCACTCTCATTTGGAAGAAATGCTAAGGCTTATGCATGGCTCATAGCCACTAATCAGCCACCTACAAATCCAGAAACATCTCAAGGAGAAAGCTCTTGCTTCTTTTTCCTCATCCACTCAAGGAAAATAATTTTAAGATTTGTTTCTTGGGAATCTAACCCAGATACATCTTGCCTCATGGTTCTAGAACCATTCAATGAGAAGGACACAGATGACCTAATCTGGTAATTGGAAAAACTGTGGTGCAGAAATGAAGAACTGTGAGATTCACCAAATGCCAATTGCAAGGTAGAATGAATCTGTTGAGCTGAGTTAATTCAAATTATCTGGAGAATTGTCTCAT